GCCTAGACAGCACTCAGGAATCGTCCAAAACAACCTACTCGAGCACAAAATAAGTAGCAACTTCGCTAATCTTAAGCATGTGAATCGTCATTATTGTAATGAGGAAAGAACACCATAGTATTTGTGCTCTATACCTTCTCCTTACAACATTAGTGTTAAATATGAAAATTGATCAATGAAAGTTTTGTAATTCTTTAGGGAAGCATTGACAAAACAATACAACTTTTACTCATGTTAAATAAGTAGTATAAAACACCCATAAATGAAGCATTTGCATCAATGCTACGAAAGAACCTAGCCTTATCTGAAGTGCACCTTCGTTTGGCTGAATAAGGAGTACGCAAAGTGTTATGCACCAAAATAGTCATTTTCGACTTCGAAAACCACTTTGCCGTTTTTAAAATCGGAAAGCTCATGCTTTAAACAATGTAGAAATGAAGTCTATTAATAGAAATCGGCAATGGTCTATTAATTATTTGAATTGTTCCCCAGAGGAGGGATTTGATATTTAATTATTCAGTAGGGTAGCACAAACAACGGGAAATCATCGTGGGAGTTATTTCTAGTTCACTACCACTCGGAATGCCTCGTTGTTGATGTTGCTTTCTTTGTGGCAACAAATTTGATTTTCCTTAATTACTTGGAGCACGAAAATCGGAATGTGGGAAAAACTAGTTCCGTTGCACTGGGAGTCATTTGTGGTCTACAAAAACTGGCATCAGACATCACATAGAATGTTCAACACTTTCCATACATTTTCATGTTTGTGTTCTTTTCCTGTTTTGCGTGCAACATTTTAAAACTCTCACGTGATGGTAGCACTACTAGGTTTGACAAAGCCATCTGATGCATAAAAATTATATTTTTAGACCTAACTTAATTGTCACTTTTCCTTTGATTGACGTCATGTGAGAGTGAACGCAGTTAATGCTTTCGAACTGGAATGCATTGTTTCAATGCTTGTTCTGAGCCATGTTTTAGCTTTGACAAAAATACCAGATCAATTGCGGGAAAACTGAGACGCACTTAAAAGGAGGCGGTAAGTAGTTGTTTTTAATTCTGCACAAAATAGGTCGCAGACTGCTATGTCTAAATGTCAAACTGTATTTGACCATCAAGATCATGCCTTTTGTTTTGATCGAGATTCAACGCAAGTGCAAACATTGTCGCATTTGACACAGGAGCACTTTTGCTAAAATTAGTTCAAATTTTAAAACTGTCTGATTTCAATGCAAAAAAATTCACTAGGCCCTCCATTTTGGATTTAAAATGTGGCTTATACGGCACTCCCAAGTTTGCTCGCGTGTTTAATTCTCACGGTCATCAACTTCACTGTTCATCACTAGTTCGCTTCGCTTTGGCTTCCTCTCTCTCTCTCTGTCTCTTCGTTTCACAGTCTGTATGCATGATTCAGCTAAGTGAAATTTATGTGATACTGAGAGACATGGCTTGTTACACAGTGTTGAATTATGGGCACCATGTTGTCGTCAAATTAAAATCGTGGTTCATGTATCCTTATGACAAATTTAACACAATACACTTTGGCATTTAAAGGAATTAG